CCCCGTGTGCATATCTGTCTCTCTGTCCAAATTTCCTTTTAATAAGGACACGTCATACCAGATTAGGTCCCACCCTAGTGACCTCGTCTTAACTTGATCATCTGCAGTAGCCCTATTTCCAAATAAAGTCACATCCACAGGTACTGGTGCTAGGACTTCAGCATCTTTTAGGGGACACAGTTCAGCCCATAATACGCCTGTTCCTGCACTTGTCTGCTTCTTTTTCTCTTCCATAAGATGGGATGACAATGGTGCCCCCCTTAGTAAATGTAAAGTGCTGAGCATAGCCCCCCGGCACATCGGGAGCAAATAAATGTTAGCTTCCATCCTCCACTGTTAGACCCTGTCTCCTCCCCAGTGAGATCTTTTCAATTAATTTACCTTCAAAAGCAATACATGTACGCATTATCCTTGTCAAAAAAAAGAAAGAAAGCATTTCAATAAGTTTAAAGCTTCCTTTGACCACTAGCCCAACTCCAGTGCCTTCCCAGATGGAACTGCTGCTTCCAGTGGGATGGGTGAGCTTCCAGAACTTTCTTTCTCCATTTATGTATATGCATACATCCACATAAAATATCTTGTTTCACTTGTAGTGGGTTTTTATAAGTACACACGCTATGGTACGGGATGGGTCATTCTCCAGCCTGCTTTTTTTCACACTATGGGCTGCCTGGGAAGAATTTCCATGTGCTAACATAAAAATCTGCCTCATTCTTCTGAACTGCTGAGAAGGATTGCCCTGAATGGATATACCACATTTCACTTAGCTGTGATCCCAGCGAGGGAACTCGCGATGTTTTCCAGTTTCTCGCTGGGTCGCTGGACACCCTCACACAAGGCTCTTTGCAGGTGTTTCTCTGGGTCAGAACGTGTAAATTTCTTGAGGCCAGGATTGCACTGGGGCCCCTGGGAACCCTTCTTCTGTGTTCGCCAGCGGTCCGCCTCGGACACCCCAGGATGGTCGCACTTTGACCCAGGAGAGGCCAGAAGACCCCTGGGCTGTGAAAAGCCAGCGTCCTGTGCCGTAGAGGCCGGCCCCCCATGCGGCAGAATTGAGGGTCATAGGCTCCTTTTCCCCGGGAGCTCGGTCTCCTCCTCATGTCCTCGGCATTGTCCTGCTCCCGTCGTCCCGGTGCTGGGGTAACCCGAGCCGAGCCGGGTCAGCTGGGGGAGTATGAGGTAGCGTCTAGCTGAGCGTCACGCTCTTTTATTAAGTCCGAAATGTGATCGCTACTGTTGTCACACTTTAGCGCCCCCAACAATCCCCTTGCAAATGAGAAAACCAGAGCTTCCGCGCATACCTTTCCCCTGACCTCAGGGAAGGCTCGGGAGCCTGCCCAGGGGCCGGGCCGCTGACCCGAGCAGCTTTCCAGCTTGAGGGAGGGCTGGGCAGGGGGAGCTGCTTTTCCAATTTCAGGCAAAGTAATGGACTGGGGGCAAGTCTGCTAGTGATCTTGTTTTCTCTGTGCCTGGGTCTGTAAAGTCCGCATTGGCCTTTAAACACAGTTTTCATTAGCACGCCAGGCTTGCTGGTTCCATCTCTCTAAGATGGCTACGGATCCGAGGTCTCAAAGTAGGGTGCCCCCGGGGGCCCCATAACCAGGTGCTGTACAGTGAAGAGGACCCAGGAGAAGACTGTGAAGAATTGGAGGTGGAGGTCGAGGCTAAGGATTGCCAGGACATAAGAATGCCCCCACTCTGCTGCCGGAGCGTGTAAATTCTCAAAGTAGCTGAAAACTGGAGAGACGGAGAAAGAGAACGAGAACAGGGAAAGAGAGGAGGGAGAGAGAGAGAGATCCCCTGAGTTTATGTATGAGCTACTGTTCCATAAATGTTTTTAAGCACAATGTGGGTTAAATAAGATATGTCTCCAGGCCTGCTTGCAACCCTTCCCTAATTGAACTTATCCACACAGAGAGAAGTCGTCAGCCTAGTTCCTTCATCCCTGTAGCGCAGCGCGTCCAATAGAATTTTCTGCGATGATGGAAATACACGCGCCATCCAGTATGGTAGCCACTGGCTACGTTTGTCTACTGAGCACTTGGAGTAGGCCTAGGGAACTGAATTTTGTATTCTATCTAATTTTAATTAATTTAAATGTAACTATCAATAACCACATGTGGCTAATCGCTACTGTATTAGACAGCGTGACTATCGAATCTCTAAATTTGGGGCACGCCATCGTGCTCGACTACCCGAGGAAAGGACGCTCCCTCTTGGGGACGGGGATCAGTTATACCTGAGACCACCAAACATCGATGAGAATCCTGGGTACGTGGAAACAAAGGAAATGGAATAACGAGCAGAAGAGGTTTCAGTGTAAGCCAGATATCTACTGGCTCGAGAGTAGTCACTCAGTGCCCCCCCGCCCCAGTTTTTTTCCCAGCATTCTCCAAAGAGTTTCTCAACTGGGGTCACCATTTAGCGTCCACCATGTTCTTTACCATCTGCTCCAACGCCCATGTGCCCATGGTTGACCCCTAGGGAGCCACTTGGTGGGACTTCCCTGCTGCTGCGTCATCCAGGCCCATCAGAGCACACCGCTGCCCATGTCCAGGCACTGTCCCCGGCCCACGGACACGTGAGGTCCCCTGCGGCGGGAGAATGGCGGCTCCTGGACAGAGTCATGCTTTGTCACTGCCACAGAGCTGTGGGCCAGGGTATCCTAGGGACTCTGAAAGCAAACCTCGCCTTCCAGCCAACCCCTTTGCAATGCAAAGCCCACTCAGGGACCAGCAGCCGCACCACCCCTTCTCCCAGGGTCCAGCCTCGATCCCCACAAAGCAGCCCAGGTGGCCCCAAGCCGCTGTCCCCACTCCCCACCCCCACGTCTCCGTAACAGCAAAGTTACCTCTATATACCTTTAAACAATTAATGAGGAAAGGGGGTTCCTGTCGTCCGTCAGCAAAGCTCCTGGTCTCAAAGATGAATTCAAGCCTCTTCCTTGTGTAAAAACAGATCCACTCAAAAGGTTGAAAACGCTGGTTTTTTTCAGTTTCTATCCTCCCATCAGGGGTCCAGAGATGTTAACAACCAATTTTTTCGCAGAGGTCAAGCTTGGAGTTCCATGTGCTTCTCCTCTTCCCAGCAGTCTTTTCGAGGAGATACCTGCCTCCCAAAGTTACCTTGCAACCAAAATGTGGGCATTTCTAAATCTTAACACAATAATAAAAACTAACATTGAGGTAGCACCTACTGTGTGCCAGGCACACTGGACGCTCTCAGTGCACCATCCCACTTCTCACATCAACCCTGTGAGGTGGGTCCTGTTATCATCGCCATTTACCAATCTGACTTCTGAACTTCAGAGTGATTACGTCACTCGCTTGAGGTCACACAGCTGGGAAGTGGTTGGATCTGGGGTCCAAACCCAGGAGGTCAGATTCCAGAGCCTGAGCTCTAACACAGCACACTCACAACCTTTGCCTTGTCAACCTGTCATCCACACGCACTTTATGGTGAAGATAGAGTTGACAGGGTTGGCGTGTATTTCGTGTGGCTTCCGTTAGGAGTGTCACGTCGCTCTGGAGTCCTGGTTGCAAAGTGACAGAATCCACCTCCACAGCTTAAACTGGAAAGTCCGTGCCTTAGTTTCCTGCCGCTGCTATAACAGATTACCACACACCTAGTGGCTTAAAACAACACAAAGGTGTTCTCTGCGGCTCTGGAGAAGAAGTCCAGAATGAGTTTCAGTGGGTGCTTCCTCCCGGTGGGTCTGAGGGCAGAATCTATCTCTTTGCCTTTTTTGGCTCCTTGTCACCACCTGTACTTCTTGGCTTGTGGCCTCTTCCTCCATCTTCAAGGTGCGTTGCCCCAAGCCCCGTCTCCTGTCCATCACAAATGTCCCTCAGCCTCTTACTTGTGAGGACCCTCGGGACTACGTTCAGGGCCACCTGGATGATCCGGGATAATGCCCCATCTCGGGATCTTTAACTTAACCACAGCTGCAGAGTCCCTTTAGCCGTGTAAGGGTCGGGAGAGTAGGACGTGGGCAACTTTGGGGGCCGTTAGTCAGCCAGCCACAGTCGAGGTGGCCTAGTTTCACTTGTGGCCGAATCTGGGGGATCAGCTAGTGTGCCCAGGGCCCGCTGGGTCTCTCCAGCTCTCGGACCTGCTGTCCTCCGGCGGGTCCAGGCTTTATCCCACCATCCAGCAGCCCCAGGGCAAAGAGAGCGCCTCCTTCCCAGAGGTCCCAGCCAGAGTCCCAGGGCTGGTTCTCCCGGGTCCAGCTTAGACCACGTGCTCATCTCTGAAGCAATCACTGTGGCCGGAGGGATCCTGGGTCTCTCTGATTGGTTGAGCCTGGGTCATGTGCCTGCCTCCGTCATCCCCTCCCCTCGGGCTTAACTCCCCTGTGTTAAGGTGTTTCCCCAAAGAGAACTGAGAGATGGATGGGTGGTGGAAAATGGCGTGGCATTGGAGTTTGTTGAGTGGCAACATTGGGATGCCTGGCACCTCGTGAGTGCCCAATAAACGATGATCACAGATCATGGGCACAGAGGGGGACTTGGGGAGGGGCTACCTCCAGAAGCTGACGCTTGAAGAATACAAGGTGCACAAGCAGATGAAGGCGGAAGAGCATTCGGAGCCGAGGAAACACCTCGAACGGGGCGAAGGCTTCCACCGATGGCCTGGGTGACCAGATGTACCTGGGGCAGAGGGAGAGGGTCCCCTTTTGTGCCTGTCCTTTCAATGAAATATTAGTAGCAGCCCCCTTTACCTGCAAAACTATCTCAGTTTGCATGATAAATGGTATGGTCGCCCCCCACCTTCTCACCAACCCGCTCCTTTATAAGGAAACCAAAGGCAAAAGAGGAGTTGAGACTTAACCCAAGGTCACCTAACCTGTGGTGACAAAGCTCAGGCTAGAATTCAGGACTTCTGACTCCCAGTGCAGTGCTCATTCCCCCCCCAGCTTATGAAACCAACTCTTGAGGGCTGCGTCAGATTAGCCAGTCATGTTTCTCCCTCTTTTTCTTTTCTTGCCAAATTCTCCGTAGGACTGTGACCAGATCCACGTCGACGACGTCTCGTCCGATGACAATGGGCAAGATTTAAGGTAGGAATTTGGGGAGTCAAAAATGCCCCTTCTGACTGGTTATCAGGAGGGGCCGGCCGCTTATCAGGACAAGATGTGCCTGCCTCCAGCCAGAGCTGGGACGAGTTTCTCTGAACTCGAAGACCGCAGCCCCGCCCCTCACCCTGCAGCCTCTTCCAAGCCGCCCCAAACCACGGAGGCCGAGACGTCCACAGATTCTCGGTGACTCTGCTGAAGTTTCTCTCTCTGTGGTTTTCTCCTGCTCCCTAAAGTGATACGTGCATGTTATAAAAACTTCAAACACCACTTCTCAGCTTGCCTCCCAGAATCACATGATCGAGAGTTCGGTAAACCTTCTTCAGAGGTTTGATTGCATTTGTTAGCAGACGTATATTATTCAATATAAAAGTTGATACCAAAAAAAATTTCTTTTTTTGTTAATTATTTTTATTCCTAATTTTATTTTTTTCTTATTTTTTAAAGATTGGCACCTGAGCTAACATCTGTTGCCAATCTTCTTCATCTTTTTTTTTTTATTCTTCTCCCCAAAGCCCCCGCAGTACATAGTTGCATATTCTAGTTGTGGGTCCTTCTAGTTGTGGCATGTGAGATGCTGCCTCAGCGTGGCCTGATGAGTGGTGCCATGTCCGTGCCCAGGATCCAAACCTGCGAAACCCTGGGCCACCGAAGCGGAGTGCGCGAACTTAATCCCTCGGTCACAGGGCCAGCCCCAAAAAGATATTTCTTGAATGAACAAGTGGTATGTCTGGTTTTTAGAGGGAAATACTCCTGGGACATGGGTTCCAGAAGTAAGGTACCCAACCGCTCAAAAGGAGACTGCTTTCAAAGGAATGTGGCTGGAATGTTCCGAGACTGCCCCTGGGGAAACTTTATAAAAATGGAACCATGATGAATCTGTGCTTGTCCAGAATTATCACAATTCAACACCTCCAGGCCCATCAGAAATATCAGCACAAATGGTGTTTTGCTTCCATGGGACCGGTCGTTGTGACTCCACTTTGTTTCCTAAGTGTGTCTTCCAGCTGACTGCAGAAAAAGAAATCTCCGTTTCTGCCACTGAGCCCTGCGCGTCTGTTCATAGGCCAGCACAATGAGAAGCGATGGGCGGGCAGGTGCCTGCTTCATTTTCATTAGCCGTTCCGGAAATCCCTCTGCAGTCAGGACCGGCCAGGAGCAAGCCTTCGGTGCCAGCCAGGACCCCTCAATTTATGGAGTAAATAAAACCCAGATCAAGGGTAATTGTGTCCTTTCCATGAAGTCATCGCTGGGAACCACTCTCCCTTTCAAGGCAGCGAATACCCAGGGTTCCGTTTTTATGAAATTCCCCTGTAGCTGGCTGGCTTGGAATTCAGAGCAATGTTCCTCTGAATCCTCTCTCATGCTGAGCTGTTTGCCACCTCACTTCAAGAATCCACAATGCAACCGGGGTGTTTTTTTCTCCTAGAAACCAAATTCCCCATTTATTCATTCAAGAAACATCTATTGAGTCCCTGCTGTGTCTTAGGCACCAAGCGTCCAACGCCCCTTCTTTTGTTTTTCTTTTTCTGTTAACAGTAAAAGCCAGCCTTGGTAACGCCCTCATTTTGCACCAGGCCCTGTTCCAGATGCTTCGTGCGGATTAACTCATTGCATCTTCACAGGAACCCTAGGAAATAGATGCTCTTATCTTCATCCCCACTTTACAGTTGGGGAATGGGAGACACAGAGAGGTTAAGTAACCTGCCCAACCTCACACAGCTGGCGAGTGGAGGAAGGAGGATTCATGGACGCCCTTCCCTGCCCTCCACCTTTTGGCAGAACATCCAGGCATCACCCTAGGGTATCCTCTGAGCTTCGAGTCACTGTTTTTTTTAAGAATAAATTATCTAGCCTTTCTGCACTACCCAGAGAGGGGTCCTCGAGGCATCGTCCTGGGTTCCCCATGTAACTTGAAAGGAGACTTTCATGACGTCCGGAGCCCCTGATGTCCTGCAGATGGAGGAGGAGGATGTCCTTGCATTCCTTGCAGCAGGAACCCAGTTAGGTGGCACCAACCTTGCCTTCCAGATGGAACAGAACATCTGTAAAAGGAAAAGTGTTGGCATCCACATCATAAATCTGCAGGAACCTGGGAGAAGCTTCTGCTGGCAGCTCGTGCCATTGTTGCCATTGAAAACCCAGCAGATGTCAGCGTCCCATGCTCCAGGAATGCGGGCCAGCGGGCTGTGCTGAAGTTTGCTGCTGCTGCTGGCACCGGCTCTGTTGCTGGCCACTTCACTCCTGGAACCTTCGCTAACTGGATCCGTGCAGCCTTCTGGGAGCCATGACTTCTTGTGCTTCCTGATCCCCGGGCTGACCCCAGCCTCTCGCAGAAGTTCTTGTGTTAACCCACCTACATTGCTCTGTGTAACACACTCCCCTCTGTGCCATGTGGATGTTGTCCCCATGCAACAGGGGAGCTCACTCAGCGGGTCTGATGTGGCAGCTGCTGGCCCTGGACGTTCTGCCCGTGCGTGGCACCATCTCTGTGCGTGAACACCCACAGGAGGTCACCCCCGATCTCTACTTCTGCAGACATCCTGAAGAGATGGGAAAGGAAGAGCAGGCCACTGCCGAAGAGGAATTTCAGGGTGGGTGGCCTGCTCTGGCTCCTGAATTCACCGCTCCTCCACCCGAGGTCACAGACGAGTCTGAAGGCACGCAGGTGCCCTCTGCGCCTGTCCGGCAGCTCCCGCGAGGACCACAGCGCCCAGCCCGCCGCTGAGCACTGGCCTGCCGCTCCCACTGCTCAGGCCACGGATGGGTGGGAACCGCCACTGAGGGGTCCTAAGCTGTTCTTCCATACTTAAACAGAAAACGACAACACAGTTGATGGAAAATAAACAGTTCCTAAAAAAAAAGAACAAATTATCTAGCAAGATGGGACCCTGTGCAGTAGAGAGGAAAGACCCCATGGTGGTTAAAAGTGTGGGTTTTAGAAACAAGGGGTTGAGATGGGATAAAGTCATACAGCCCCTTTCTTATGGGCTTACGAATGTGCTGGAAAAGTGCCCAGCACACTGAGTCCTTGGCAGGTGGCTGCCTTGCCCCTGTGACTCGATGTTGTCCTCCCTTTGACTAGCTGGGTATATTTCACTCATTAGCCCCTGGTCACCACCACCCACGGCTGGGGGGCAGGGCTGAGAAGGAAGAAGCAGCAACATGTCTGTGTCATACACCCACTCACATCTTTCGTGGGAAAGAAGTTTTTGTGCAAACAAGTTATTAGAACAGTCATATCGTATTCTTCGTGGATCTTCTTAAATTTGAGTAATTTGGTCAACAGCAGAGAAGAAACTGTAATCGCCCATATTCCCACCATCTCGAACTAATGGCTTTGTGACCTTGTGAACGTGACTCGCTTCCAATTTTATACACATTCACACTCACACAAATGTCTGTGAGAAATGACACAGGTGTGTGTGTGCGTGTTAGGGAATGTTTGTGTGTGTGTGTTTACACTGGCAAGAATTTAAAGATGTCTAAAGAACAATTTCTGTAACTGTGCACACAGCCTGCTCTGGAGGGAGCACCAGAGTCTGCGTTTGGGATCAAGTCACTCAGTCCTGGCCCCCGGGGTGAAATTTGCTGTTGACTTTGAGACATCGCCCAAGGCATTTCTGTGGCTCCCGCAGGGTTCCTGTTGTCGCCACACAGCCTCTTCCTGCGGAGAGTTTTATATCGGGGCAGCGAGGCCTGGCCTCTGCTCAGAGCGAGGCTGACCCCATCACAGGATACTGGGTGACCACAGCCCGTCAGATCACGCTGTGTTCTGGCATCAACACGCCCACAGGGAGGATGACCCAGCGCTTCACACTTTTCAAAACCCCTTTTATCTTAAATTGGAGGTCCTTACGATATAATTTCCAAGTGCTGTTTCATTCCTATTGCATTGCATCTTTTTAAAAAATAAAATGTCTTTCTTTTTCCATTCTTAAACTTGTCCTAGAAAATCCAGAAACAGCAGTATAGTTAAAGACAAACAAGTCGGCCAAACCCACACCCTGAGGGGGCCTTGGAACCACACTGACCTGCTTCCTTCGGGTCTTCTCTCTGAGGAGACTTTCCTTTCTGAAGCTTTTGGTCAGGCTGGACACGCATCCTTTGTTCCGCCCTGGTTTTCCTCGCGATGTTACAGCATAAGCGTTACTCCCGGGATTTCACAGACTTACCCAGAGCTGGTCGAGGGAAAGAACGCGGCGTTCTCTGAGGCTCTCGGTTTTCATGCTCACACCGCGGTTGCCGTTGGTGGCGAATCGCCCACGCTTTCCCCTTCTGGTCCCCGGCTGTCATTTTGTCGCTGACTTTGTGGGACATTCTGACCTGTCCCCCCGGCCGCATGTAGAACTTCATAGCCCAGCACGCTTCAGTCGGGGTGCAGGGTTATGTCGCACAGCACTGACAATCGACTCTGCCTAACTTAACAAACAAGAAAATCAAGATCGAGAATTTCCGTGGAAAGATACAGAGATGCCTACAGAATGGGAAGAGAGGGGTCAGCAGCCAGGCCTTAGAAGGGACATGAATCAGGGCAGGTGTGGGGATCAAAGTAGCGAGAACTAACTGACGTTTTCTTCTGGAATCTTCTGTCAGGAGGAACCAATTCCAACCACTTTTTGGAATTCCCTTCCAGCTTCAAATTCTAAAGGGAGAGAGAGAGACTCTTAGCTTGGCCACTGCACGCAGGGGGCAGGGATCTGTCCCTCCCAAAACACAGAGATGCTGTTTGATGCCAAAAGAGAGAAAAGCGGATGCTGATGAGGCAAGAGCAAAAGATGCCACCGTGCTTTGGGAAGCGTGTAAAGCTCTGGTCCTCCCCGAACGCACGTGCTCACAGCACCTCGCCCATGCCGGGGGTTCCTGGACGCCCCACGCCCCACCCCTGGCTCCCGCAGGGCCCGTGGTCTGAGAGACCCCCACCTCCCGACATTAACACTCTCTCTTCTCCCTCCCCTGCCCCGTCCCCTTGCCCAGCACGTACAACTTCTCCGCGGACGGCTTCCACAGCTCGGCCCCGGGAGCCAACCTGTGCCTGGGCTCCGGCGTCCACGGCGGCGTGGACTGGATGAGGAAGCTGGCCTTCCGCTACCGGCGGGTGAAGGAAATGTACAACACTTACAGGAACAACGTCGGCGGTGAGTGGGGGGGGGGGGGGCAGGGGGCTCGGGGTCGCCTGGCAGCCTGGGCGTCAGGATCCACGGGGCGCCCTGGCTGACCCCCGCGTGCAGCCGAGGTGAGAGCCGCCGCTTCAGGAGCAGGAAAGCCTGGGTTCCTGCACTAAATGGGAGTCTGGAGGGGGCAGGTGGTGGGGCTGGCCCTAGACCTGTTTCTGGAATTCTCTAGGCCAGCAGTTCTCAGCAGGAGGGGACACTGCTTCTCCCCGAAAGGCACGTGGGGGGGGGAGGGGTGCGGCGTTCGATTGTGACAATGTCTGGACCCAGCCACTGGCCCATAAAGGGACAAGGTTTGAGTGGGCGGCTCACAGTATCTGCCGTGTGCCGCTCGGCCCCAGAAGCTTCCAGGGTTCCCCCACCACCCCCGGGAACAGTCGAGTCCCAGGAAGAATTCAGCGTCTCAGCCAGAACAGAACCCACTTCCCGTCCCAGTGCTGCCACTTTCCGGCCGTCTCTCAGAGCCTCAGTCTAAGTCTGTGAGATGAGGATGGAACAGGTCTGCTGCCCCGGGGCACCGAGAGGTCGCAGCTAACACGCAGGAAGGGCGACCCCGGGCCTGGGCTGCAGCCGGCACCCGTGAACGGTGCGTTCATCACTAGTTCCCCCCAGTGTTGCGTGGCCATCTCGCGGGTTCTCCTGTGTCTTCAGCTTTCCCGGGATAGACCATCAGCTCTTCGGGAGGGATTTTCTCTCTTGTCCTTGGCTATGGTCCTAACACGGTCCTGGCGAGGCCAGTGTTTACTGAGCGCTTCCTCTGTGCCGTGCTCTCTTATGAGGGCTTTGCATCTAATAGCTTATTTGCCCTTCAGAACATCCCTATAAGGTAAGTGCTTTTATCGTCCGTGTTGTATGAAGGTGGAAACGGAGATCAGAGAGGTTAAGTAGTCTGCCCAGTGTCACACAGCCCAGGCAGCAGAACCACGGTGGCGCCCTAGGCAGCGCTCCGCTCCCTCTGCCCACGCTCCATGGCCTCTCCCATCCGAGTCTGTGGACTGCAGGAGTGAAGCAGAGAGCTTCGGGGTCGGCTCTGCTTGTTCATCACCCCTCCGCAGAGAGAGGAGGGGAGCGAGTGTGCTTGGGGTCCGGGAGACAGGGTGGAGTCAGCCGACGGGGCCCTCTGCTCCCTGTCCAGGTGAAGCCCTGGGAAATGCCCAGGGCTTCTGTCGGGCTGGGTTGCTTTCCTGAAATTCCCCGCTGTGTGAGCAGGCAGGACCCGAAGCTGGCAGGATGCCGGCTGGCGGCCCCCTCCCGCTCCTCCTTCTGCACGCTCCTGCCCCCTCCACTCCCCCAGCTGTTTGTGCCTCACAGAACTAGCCTGCGGAGGACCGCGCCTCCAGCCTGGGGGTCACCACAGCCCCCAGGATTCCAAGGGTTTTGGAAGCTTGCTTGGAAGAGAGCCGTGGGTAGGATACAGGATGAAGAGAAAAAAACACTTAAGTCAACACCTGGGAGGCAGTGGTTGGGTTCAGAGGCCTTTGGCTGATTTCACACCTCCCTCTGCCAAGTCCTGTGTAACCCCGAGTAAGTTTCTTGACCTCTCTGTGCCTCAGTTTCCTCAAATGTAAAATGGGGATAATGCTGGTGCCCATCTCACAGGATGATGTGAATTAATTTGAGAAGGCGCTTGGAACAGTGTCTGCCGCACAGTAAGCGCCTCCTAAGTGTTGCCGTTGTGGTCTGGGGACAGTGGGACCCAGCCTGGAGGAGGACACTGAGGGCAAGGAGCGAGCCGACAGGAGCCTGAGGCACACTTCCTACAGGGGGAAAGGAGGGGCGGTTGACCCGCTGTCTACACCGGCAGCACGCGTGCGAAGGGCCCTCGTGAGTGTGTGTTGTGATTAAGGGCCCCAGCTAAGGCGCCGTGGGGAAGGTGCCGAGAGAAAGGAGAACCGGAGGCCACCTGCTCTGAGTCTGTGGAGGAGACGGGACATGCAGCGGCAGGGCGATCCACTCGTGAATGCGCGTGTCCATCACCAATGACCTACTGTGCAGATACAGCAGTGGACACGAGGAACAAGGTCCCCGCCCTCAAGGAGTTGGGATTCAATACGTGAAGGAGACAGACATAAACCAGTGCACAAATAACTTTAAGTTCTGGATTCTGTCATTTCAGAGAGGATAAGGCCTACGAAGGAAATAGAAAAGAGGGATGCAGCAGAGAGAGCCCTGGGGCTGAGGGCTTCTCTGAAGAGCAGATCACAGAGGACATCTCTCAGGAAGGGATCTTTGAACTTACTTCCACATGATGATAACCAGGGGCCTAGTGCTGAGGGGTGACCAAACCAATACCAGCAGAGGGAGTGAATCAGTTAGGGTTATATTCATCTGCATAAATAAACAACAAAAAGACAAAAAATAACAATGCCTGAAACCAAATAGAAATTTATGGCTTTCTCACATACATGATCTGCAGGAAATCCAGAGCTGGCAAAGCCCTTCACAGTGTTGAGAGCCCAGGCTCCTTCCATCTTGTTGCTCCACCATGTTCCGTCCATGGCTTCTACCTCGTGGTCCAAAGAGGCTGCTCAAGCTCCAGCCATAATATTCCAACCAGCAGGAAGAAGGAAGGAAGCAAATAAGTATAGACCTCTTTAAGGACCGTTCCTAGAAGTTACACACGACACTTCCACTTCTCCATGGCCAAAACTTTAGTCACATGACCACACCTAGCCGTGATGAAGACTGAGGAAGTAGGCTTTTAGCCTGGCAAACAGACACTCAGCTAAAATCAAGGTTCTTATTACTTAATTCTTCTCTAATAAGAGAATTTTTTAGATTTTTATTTTTATGAATTCCTAAAGAGAAAAATGGATAGTGTCATCTGATATGAAACCTCAAGTTACCGTAGCTGGACCCCCCCTCCCCTTACTGCTGCCCGCCCAGGCCTTTCTACGATGGTAGCGACCACGTTTTTGTTTCCTTTGTCCATAGGCTTGATAGGGGCCCCCAAAAGAGAGACCTGGCTACAGCTGCGAGCTGAGCTGGAAGCCCTGACCGACCTCTGGCTGACCCACTCCTTGAAGGCACTCAACCTCATCAATTCCAGGTAAGCGGGAAGCCTCATTTTCTTTGGTGCCGCTGAACTTTGTCCCTTTCGAGGGTGGTGTCTCCTGCGTTTCCACACTTGAGAGAATTGGGCACTCCAGATTCTCGCTTGCACACTTTCCAGAGATTTGACAGAGCTGAGGTGTGCAAGGCCGTGGACACCTTGCACCATAGCTGAGCAAACAGCTGCAGAGGTTTATCAGGGTCCAGCTGAGCGGGAGACCTTCGTGCGTAGGTCCACCGTGTCGCATCCACTCTTGCCCACAGCACCTGCCAGTCACAACATCACCCTCGGAAAACCATTTTATAGGACGCCACAGATCATCTGGTGGGTCCCTAGTGAGGTAAGGAGGGTCCAGCTTCGTTCTAGGCCTCCCAACAAATTGCCTCTTGCTCTTAGACAGGATCATCCGGGCCAGAGAGCAAATGGCTTCTCTGCACCAGCATCAAAAAATCTTGTGATCCAGCACATGCATGGTTACAAAGTGGCAGCCCCTGAACTGAATCTTTGCTACTGATGTGTTTTAATTGGCAAACATTTTGTCCCAAAGGCTGAGAAAATTAATCCATAGCTCCAGGTTTCTAGGTTCTCCCAAAATATCAGAACTGGGGGCTGACCCAGTGGCGCAGTGGTTAAGTTCGCACACTCTGCTTCAGCAGCCCGGGGTTCGCTGGTTCAGATCCAGGGCACGGACCCACGCACCACTTATCAAGCTGTGCTGTAGCAGGCGTCCCACATATAAAATAGAGGAAGATGGGCATGGATGTTAGCTTAGGGCCAATCTTCCTCAGCAAAAAAGAGGAGGATTGGTGGCAGATGTTAGCTCAAGGCTAATCTTCCTCAAAAAAAAAAAAAGAATCAGAACTGGCATGTTCTCTCTAGTTTCCCCCAGTCCCCACCTCTCCTTATTGTCCTCCACTTATTCCATAGCACTCATTTCCGTTACCCAAGGCCCCTGCAGCTATTTAAGTGTATGGTCCTTACAATAAACAGTTGCTTTTTTGTTGTTGTTGAGTTCATAATAGCTTACATCATTGTGAGATTTCACTTGTACCTTATTTCTTGACTGTCACCACATAAGTGCTCCCATTCACCGCCTGTGCCCACTCCCCACCCCCTCCCCCTGGTAACCACTGAACTGTTTTCTTTGTCCGTGTGTTTGTTCACATTCCACATATGAGTGAAATCATATGGTGTCTGTCTTTCTCAGTCTGGCTTATTTCATTTAGCATAATTCCCTCCAGGTCCTTCCATGTTGTTGCAAATGGGATGATTTTGTCTTTTTTATGGCTGAGTAGTATTCCATTAGGTAGATGTTACCACAACATCTTTATCCAATCCTCAGTCAGTGGGCACTTGGATTGTTTCCATGTCTTGGCTGTTGTGAATAGTGCTGCAAAAACGTTTGCTTTTTAAATAATAAAGGTATTACACCCATATTACATTTCAACGTGTCAGGCAGCTTCAGGCTTAAAAGAGAAAAACAGCTGGAGAATCCTTGGGCCCTACCCTCGCCTGAAGATGCCTCAGCCAGAGCTGCAAACCGCACCAGCACTCCTGCCGACTCCAGGCTCTTGCTGCAGGTACCTTGGAGTTCTGATCCCCACTCTCCTTTGTCCTCAGGCCCAACTGTGTCAACGTGCTGGTCACCACCACTCAACTAATTCCTGCCCTGGCCAAAGTCCTGCTGTATGGACTGGGCTCCGTGTTTCCTATTGAGAACATCTACAGTGCAACCAAGACAGGTAGGGGGGGCGCAGATCTCGGGGGTGCAGGGAGGGAGCGCGAGGTCAGCTCTCCGTCCCGGGGCTGGGAAGTTAAAGCACTTGCCCACGGGCGTGACTCGGATCCCAAAACAACCCCCACAACCCACTGCTTCGACCTCTGCCTGTAGGACAGTTTCCCCGAGTGTGTGTGTGTTAGGATATCCGCAAAGCTGCTCTAACAAACACACCCCAAATACAAGTGTACAGCAAGGTCAAAGCTTATTTCTCCCTCCCGTGTCCGCAGACCAGAGGTGAGTGATCCAGGCTGATGGGGTGTCCCTGACCTCACACTCACCCAGGAACCCAGGTCCTTCCCGTTTTATTTTTCCACCATCCTCTAGGTTTTAGTCTCATGTGTGACCAAAACTCACCTCCTATTGGACCATCTTAGTCATGTGGCCACAACTAGTTGCAAGGGAAGCTGGGAAATGTAGTCCACAGCTGAGTGACTGTGAGTACCAGTTAAACTCATGGCATTCTGTTACTAAAGAAGAAGAAGGGGCCGGCCCCATGGCCGAGTAAGTTTGCGCACTCTGCTTTGGCAGCCCAGGGTTTCGCCAGTTCGAATCCTGGGCGCGGACATGGCACTGCTTATTAAGCCACGCTGAGGCGGCATCCCACATGCCACAACTACAAGGGACCCACAACTAAAAATACACAGCTATGTACCGGGGGGCTTTGGGAGAAAAAGGAAAAATAAAATCTTTCAAAAAAAGAAGAAGAGGAAAACAGTTTCCAGCACAGCATGGTAGGAGGTGATTTTAATTTAGGTGGTACAAGTCATCAGATAACCTTCGATCTAACCTTGAGCCACACAGAGAGAAAATTACTGTTTTTAAAATTCTCTTTCAAGGCAAGAGTCTCAGTTTGGTGCTAGCCTGCTTTCACACTTCTCTAATACTTGCTGATCTCCCTTATTACCAAAGAGAAGGAGCCTCAGGCTCAGAGCTTTCGTCAGCTAAGAGGGTCCAATAACCAGAAATTAACAGCCACGTTCATCATCAGGCCAGGTAATACTGGTTTCTTTAAGAGGGGGAAGAGGACTGATTTTTTTATTCTTATATCACCTAAAAATGTATAATAATGCAAAATAAATCTAGTTAGTTAAGATGTTTTAATTAGAAATTTTTACCCTTTTTTTTAGTGGAGCAAAAACCCAATTTGTAGTACTTTAGAAGCATTTTCTTAGAGCAGTTTTTGCTTTTACTGAATTTCTAGATCTGAACATTATATTCAAATGTTTTTAGATTTTTTTATTTTTTTATTGCAGTAACATTGGTTTATAACATGATATAAATTTCAGGTGTACATCATTATATTTTGATTCCTGTGTAGATTACATCATGTTCACCACCCAAAGACTAATTACCATCCATCATCACACACATTCCTAATCACCCCTTCTGCCCTCCTCTCTCCCCCCTTCCCCTCTGGTAACCCCCAATCCAATCTCTGTCTCTATGTGATTGTCGTTGTTTTTATCTTCTACTTAGGAGTGAGATCATACGGTATTTGACTTTCTCCCTCTGACTTATTTCACTTAGCCTAACACCCTCATGGTCCATCCGTGTTGTCAGAAACAGCCAGATTTCATCCTTTCTTACGGCTGAGTAGTATTCCATTGTGTAAAATCATAGAAATTGAGGCCCCACATGGCCATTAGAAATTCTACAGGACCTTATGAGTCTTTTTATTTTCTTCCTGAATACCTCTAGTTATGTGCCTTTGCAGGCTTATTTAGAATCTTTTTTTGATAACTCTTTTCTTTTTAATTGTGGTAAAATACATATAACATAAAATTTAGCATCTTAACCATTTTTAAGCGTACAGCTCAGTGGTGTTAACTACATTCACCTTGTTGTGCAACCATCCGCACCTCCATCTCCAGAACCCTTTCCATCTTGCAAAACTGAAACTCTTGAACCCATTAAACAACAACTCCCCACTCCCCCTCCCCCAGCCCCTGGCAGCCACCCTTCTACTTTCTGTCTCTATGAGTTTGGCTGCTCTGGGGACCTCATGTGAGTGGAATCATGCGGTATGTGTCTTTTTGTGATGGGCTTATTTCACTCAGCATGATGTCCTCAAGATTCGTCCACATTGTAGCCTGTGTCAGAATGCCCTTCCTTTTCAAGGCCAAATGATATTTCATTATATGTATACATCACATTTTGTTTGTCCGTTCATCTGTCGATGGGCACTTGGGTTGCTTCCACCTTTTGGCTTATTGTGAATATGCTGCTATGAGCATGGGTGTGCAAATGTCTTTTCAAGACCCTGCTTTCAGTTCTTTGGGGTACATACCCAGAGGTGGAATTGCTGGGTCATATGGTAATTCTATTTTTAATTTTTCAGGGGACTACCATACTGTTTTCCACAGCAGCTGCACCAATTTGCATTCCAACCAACCGTGCACAGGGGTTCCCATTTCTCCACATCCTCACCAACGCTTGTTATTTTCTTTCTTTTTTTGATAAAAGCCATCCTATTGGTTGTGAGGTGATAGGTTTTCTTTTTAATTTAGTGATTCTATTCTCTATTTAAATGAATTTATTTAAGTAAATATAAAAGTGTGAGTTGATTTTAAGAGAAATTAAATAACAACGGTTCTCGGATTTGGTCACAATTGTGAAGATAGTTCCGGAACGTTTAAGAAACAGTGGTCCAGGGGCCGGCCCAGTGGCACAGTGGTTAAGTTCATACTTTTGGTGGCCTGGGGTCCATGAGGTCGGATCCTGGGTGTGGACCTACACACCGCTTGTCAAGCCATTCTGTGGCAGGCGTCCCACATATAAAGTAGAGGAAGATGGGCATGGATGTTAGCTCAGGGCCAGTCTTCCTCAGCAAAAAGAGGAGGATTGGTGGCAGATGTTACTTCAAGGCTAATCTATCTCAAAAAAAATAATAATAATAAGATTAAAAAAAAAAAAAGAAACACTTGTCCAGGATGGCATTTCTCTAGAGACAATTCATGAACAAAGTATTCAGTCAGTGGTCAGATAAGTTTGGAAAACTCCCAATGAACAGGAGCAAAGGTCCGTTAAGTCCTACCATAAAACTTTTCAAAGCAAAGTTGCATTTGACAACACAATCTTTTCTCTGTAGAATTCACAAGAAAGGAGTCTCTAACACAGACACGTTTAAAATGTTCATCTCGCCCGTTGATTCTGTTTCCATGTTAGAAGAATCATACGCCATCATGGGCGTGGAAAGCGACCCTTGTCTCTCACTTCAGGAGCCTGAAAATCAAAGAACTAAGAGTAGTCGGAGTTGAGCTAGGATGGAAACTTGGCCTCCAGCTCCCTGTCTTCACTTAAAAAATCATAATTTTTTCAATAGTCAAGTTTCTGCTCTGATAATGCTGCGTAACAAACATCCCGACACTCAGTGGCTTACAGCCACCAGTTTCCATTTCTCACTCGTCGTTCGACGAGTGAACTGTGGCTCTGCTGGGCTAGACTCCAGGCTCTGGCTGCTTCTCGTATCCTCAGTCTGGGGCCAGCAGCCAGCCAGGGGCCCATTCTTCTCATGACAGATGGCAGCAGGGAAGGAGGCCAAGACAGACCACCCACGCTCATTTCTCATGGCAGGTCCCCAACATTCCATTGGTCAAAGCGAGTCACACGGCCAACCCAGTATCAGTGGGGTGGGGAGTAGGCCCCATCCTGTGAGGGGGGTGGCAAAGGGCAAGGGTATGTAGTTCCCTAACTCAGCCCATGGTTCCAACCCGCTGCTCTGACCCAGCCTCTGCTCCATGGAGGAGGAAGCAGGCACAGAGCTGGTTCCTATCCAGAGCCGTGGAACCGAGCCCTTCAGAGCTCAAGTGCAGGCAGTCAGCCTGGGTTCGAATCCCGGCTCTGGCTTGTCAGCTGGGTGCCCCTGGAAATAGCTTCCCCTCTCTCTGCCTCAGCTTCCTGCTCTGTAATGGGATGATCACAATACCTCTAAGCACGTGATAAAGTGAAGCAGTGCAGGCAAAACATTTAGCAGGTCCCAGCAGAGCACAAGTGCGCACAGATAGGAGCTGTCTTATTATTATTACAACTCCCCTGCCTCCCCTCCTCCTCCTCCACTCAGCTTCAAGGCGCTTCACCAACCCTGAGCCTCAGTTTCCCCATCTCTGAAATGGGGATTATATTAATTCACAGGATTGCTGTGAGAGTTGAATGAATGAATGGAAGTCGGTGGTTCCCAATGTGGGTGGGGGGGCAATTTGCCTCTCAGGGGACATTTGGCAACATCTGGGGACGCTTCATTTTCACAACGGGAGGAGTTGCTGCTGGCCTCAGGGAGATGAGAGCAAGGACACTACTCAGCATCCCACAGTGCGCAGGGCAGCCCGCAGCAAAGAAGGATCCAGCCGGAATGTCAGCAGTGCCGAGGCTGACAAATCCCAACGTAGGGGAAGCACTTAGCACGCAGTAAACTCAGTGAGTGACTGCCACTGTTGTTATTATTATTACTGCCATTTTCATCATTATTATGGTCACTAAACGTGCTGATATGATCAGCATGAACTAAGTGTCTGCATTTATGTTGCTGCCCACACACCTGGGAAGGAAAGTGCCCAGAGGTGGTCATCGACAGGTGACAAGGAAAGAACGTACAGGGGAGCCGCCGCGAGGGCCAGCTCTGTCACCGGGCTGTCCCTCTGTGGAAACGTGCGTCCCGGCGCCTCCGCCTCCGCACTCTGGGACCCTGGGCAGACCGCTTCACCTCTCAGCCTGTGTGCTCACCTGTGAAGCGGCCCGGCGCTCCCGCCAGACAGCTGCGTAGACCCCACAGCCTGCCTCCAGCCCTGTGCTGCCCCTTCTGCTGTGTCACCCGGGGCGAGCCACTGAACTCCCCGCCCCCCGCTCGGCGCCGTCGTCCATCCTGTGGGGATGGTGACGGGGCGCACCTGGTGGACCACTTAAGGATGGAGTGATTGACAGCCGGCCCTTAGGAGGACGGCTGCGCACAGCGAGTGAGCGCTTACCCAGGGTTGCCGTCCTCCGCGGCCCCGGGTCCTCACCCAGCTCCTTTCTCTCTCTCCTTCTCGCGCGCGTGCAGGCAAGGAGAGCTGCTTCGAGAGGATAATGCAGAGGTTCGGCCGGAAGGCCGTCTACATCGTGATCGGCGACGGCGTGGAAGAGGAGCAGGGAGCGAAAAAGGTACTCCTCCCGTCTCTCATGCTGCTGTTTGCGCCTCTCTTGAGCCGCCTCGTGGTTTTCAGGGCTGTTTACACCGGTTTCCTCCACCTCCCCGTCGCTGGCTGGGTCCCCTCCTTTCCAGGCTCTTTGCTCGCTGGTCCGTTCCCATTTGCAAATCGCAGAAGCATCCTGAGTAATTTCCTCCTGCAAATCCCCCTCCGGGGTGCCTTTGGCCACTGCCCCTGGTGGCCCTGGATTGTTTCTGGGACAAGTGCTGGGGAGCAGAGACGCTCTGTTGGGGCAGGCCGAGCGGCGGGGGGCGGCACACGTGCATGTGTGTTTTATTTAATGCTCACTGATCGTATGTTCCAGGAACCCTTCCCAGTTAATAAAGACAGCATTAAGCTAATGAAAAAGAAAATCCTGCATTTGTGATCTCGGGCCCACGAGGAGAGGGGCAGGGGGTTCTGGTGGCCGCAGCTCTGTTCTTGGAAAAGAAACAGCTGCCAAAGCCCCAGGCCTGGACCTGTCAGCAGCATCCCAGAGCGCCTGCCACCCCCCACCCAGAGGCCTGGGAAGTGGATTGTTAATGTCACAGAGCTTAATTTGGGGGACCTGGTTTCCCCCTTCCCTCCCTGGCAACAGATTCCAAGGAGATGCAGAAATGTTTAGGGTCTCAACAGATGAAGCCCACAAGACGAGGGAGGTCCTGAGAGAGGGTCTCCGGAGAAGGCAGCTTAGACAGCTGTGCAGATGCTGTTCCATCTGCCTGGAAGGCTCCTCCCCTTTCCCCGGCTCTTCCAGACCCCTCCTTCCGCAACGCTTCCGGTGGGAACACTCCCTGACCAGCTCCCACTGCCCCTGCCTGCTAGATCAGGCCTGCCTGGGACTCCCCCCAAGCTGTCCACACCCTTTCTTCAGGCCATTGTCCCCTCTTGTCATGAGAGAATCACTGTGTGATTGGTCTACTAATCCCGGATTCTCCAGCTGGAGTGTAAGCTGCCTCCTGTGTGCCAGCCACTGTTGCAGGCCCTGGGGACCCTGCAGTGAGCCGGACAGACACGGCCCTCGCCCCCTGCTCAGCTCACAGCCCGGACAAGCAATAAACACATGCATGCAACATGCGTGTTGGGCAGTGACCAGAGCTTTGGAGAAAAATAAAGCAGGGAACTGGACCAGAGGGGACTCTGCAGCCGGGGCACGTCACAAGTGTAGGTAGTGGTCAAGGCGGGCCGCGCTGCAAGGTGACATCTGAGCCAAGCTGGGAGGACAAGGGGGAGTGAGCCAGGGGGCTGTCAGAAGGAGGACATTCCCAGAGAGGAACCAGCAAGTTCCCAGGGCGCCAGCATGGCTGGTGAGGCGAGGCCGGGGAGGTGCTGGGCCTCGAGGGGACATCAGCTTTCATCTGAGCACTTCTTAAAGCATATTTCTCTAACTTCAACAATGAATTGACTTAGAGGAAAAAGTACTAAGGAAATCATAGTCGCAGAGGTGATACACAAGGACATGGCCCAAACCGCGGTGTAAATCACCTGAAACATCGCAGGAATTGCAGGGGCTCCAGACACCCCATGCCAGGCAGGTGTCTGAGGTGACCTGAACCCAATTCTGGGGCCCAAGGGGGCCTCCCGAGCCCCTCCCCCACTTCCAAGTTCAGATCTGGCGGAAAACTCTGCCCTGAGCCTGGGACAGTGACCACAATGAAGCTTTGCTCCTGTCAGCGTTGGGTGGGGGCCCCAGCTCAGGCTGTGCCCTGTCATTCTCACTGGAGGATGACGGGGACGGCCACGGAGCAGTGGCCACCACGCACCCGCCTCCTCACCAACTGGAGACGGTTTATCAGGGCGGCGTAGCAAACGTTCTGAAATGACCCCTTTATGATCCTGAAATGAAATACTAATGGATAATATAAGCTGCTGATAACCAGAAGGCCCCAAAGATCAGTTTCTCGTCAAAGAGAAATAAAGGGAAGGTCGTTTATGATCAGAACAGCAGGGGCCTCCGTGTGTAAGTGTGTGGGCACAGAACCCCAGTGCTCGCGCCCAGTCGTGCCGTCGCTGGGGATGGGACCTGGCGCACACAGAGGGACATAGGCTTGGGGTCTCGACCCTCCATGAACCAGGGCAGGGGCCACGGCTGTTGCGTGATTCCTCCCCCACTGAAGCAGCTCCCGACAGGGTTCTGGGGGAAGCAAAATACAGACTCCCCTTGATTTGCACAACAGAGGCTCCCCTGGAAATTCAGGTTTTATTAAATGCATGCAAAAGAAACTCTAAATTTATACGTGACATGTACCATGCGGTCAGGGGTCCGGGCTCAGGTTATTATGAGCGGCTTTCTACTTCCTTGAATATCTGGCCGCACGTTCAAAAGCCACCCAGGTCGAAGGTGTGTGGGGTGAGACAGGACACCTGCCCCACTTGCAGTGCCCCCGGATCATTGTGACAGTCGAAAATCACAGCTCTAGAAATTTCCACAGTGACCCCCTAGAGTGCAGGCTTCTCCTCCTTTGACAACGGCTGGTCTGGGGTCACCCTCCCGCCGCCTTAATTTCCGTGTCCCAGGCACCTCCCTCACCTCCCCCTGTGGCCAGCCCTGCTCCCACAGACACGTGCAGCCAGGGCAGCACATTTTACTCTAAGTCCTGCTGGCTGTGCCGTTGGGGGCCACGTGGGCTTCAGCAGAGGTCACCCGCTCTCTGAGCTGCCTCTCTGCGTCTGTCACAGCCGCTGAGAACGTGCCCACAGGCCCAGCAGGGGTGCCGTGCAGAGGGAGCAGAGCCTGAGCTCTCTTGCTGTCACTCCCCAGCCTGGGGGGCGGCGAGGGGTAGCCCGACCCTTGGACATCCGGAGGAGGGTCTCTCTGCTGTGGAGCCGGCAAGAAAGAAAGGACAAATGCTAATTCACACCCAACGTGAAAACTCACCCAGATCTCGCTTGCTCCGCGCCCCCAGGAGCTGAGGGTGTGGGGTGTGGGTGGGCTGGTCTCTGGCAGGGCTGGGTCCGAGGGTCTCAGCAGGGCTGGTGCTGCCCCGGGTTCTGCCAAGTGGGGCTCGGGTTGCCTTGGATGCCGGACTTAAACAATAGAGAGATGTCTTCTTCTCTCGCGTGAAACATCCATCAGCTGCCAGGATGGCTGTGCCGGCACCAGGGACCCGGGCTCCTTCCAGCTTGTGGCTCTGCCAGGCCCAGGACTGCTCTTTCCACAAGGTCCCAGAGGGCTCCCCGCCACCCCGTGACCACACTCCCGCCACCAGGCAGGGCAGGGAGCAAGACCCCTCTTCCCTTTAAGGGCACAGCTGATACAAGCGGACATCCTATTGCTCCTCACAGCCTATTGGTGCTCACATCCTATTAGCTAGATTTTAATCCCATGGTCACACTGTGCCACAAAGGTAGGTGGGAGATGCAGCCTTTATTCTCAGCTGCCATGTGCCTAGCTGAAAAAAAAAAGGAGCTTCCTCTGAGAGAGAAGGGGGGAACGGATGTGGGGGGCAGGTGGCAGTCTGTCACACCTAGCATGTAGCCGGGCTGTGACTGGCACCTAGGGGTGCCCGGGCTGACCCCATGCCCTTAACCACTGCTCTTTATTACTGACGTCATTGTTTTATTTAATGCTCAAAACCCCCCTGCAAAGTGGGTATCGTTGCTCTTCATTTTATAGAGGATGGATTTGCGACTCAGAGAGGTTAATTAATTCACCTAAGGTCACACAGCTGGTACATGCAACCTGATGGCTGTTTTGCTCCAAACACCTGGCAGGAAGGTGGTGGGCTTAGGAATTTCAAACACTGCCAGTCTGCACCCCCGAGCTGGTCAGATGAGAGGGAAGTCCACCAAAGAGGATTAGGGCGCACACACACACCAAGCTCCCCTAAAAACCTGTGCCAGCGTGTGAGGCAGCAGCCCCAGCCCATTAGTGAGAAATTCTGTGTGCCAGCAGCTCTCGCGCCTGATGGATGGGCGTCATTAACCCCGGCCGCCAGACCCTGAGCGGCGTGAAATATGGCGCCAAGACGAGGGGCTTTGTCTCGGCTGACAGCGTTGCTAATATCTCCATTTTAGCGGGTCGTTTGTCTCCAACGCTCCACAAGTGATAAATCCACCGCACTCCGGAGCCGTCGGCCCGGCTGGAGGCAGCAGAGACCTCCTCCACCTTCGCTCATTTCCTCCTGGAAAAATGAATTACACTCTTTAAAGGGGGACGGGATTGGCCAGGCAGCACCCGGATCCGTCTTTGCCGAGAAGGGGAGGCTCGGCCGCGGTGAGGAGAGCTGGGGGAGCTGGGCCACGGGAAGTTGTTGAAGGGGTGGCATCTGTTGCCCCTGATGGATCGTATTCTGCTTCCCTTGAGCAAAAGAGAACATTCTAAGTGTCGAAGGCTGGTTCTGACCAAAGCTGGTGGTCCCCGGTCTGTGAAAACAAAAAAGAGAAAAGATGTGTTTGTGGATGACTTTGCTTGAGAAACCCACCTTCCCTCTCTTGCTCCCCCCCTTCGTCTTTTCATTCCTTCCATGAATATTTCTTGAGCACCTTTGTGCCAGGAGCCACGCGCTGCAGCAGTGAACGTGACGCTCCACGTTTGAACCCCCCTCAGGGCCTTTGCACTTGCTGTGTCTTCTGCCTCAACTGCTCCCCCACAGCTTTGCACGGCTCCCTGCTTCTCATCCTCTGCCCGCTTACATATCGCCCCCCAGAGGAGCCTTCCCTGAGCCGGCTGCCAAAAGCAGACACCCTCTCTGCCACTGCTGTCTACCCCCCCGACACACACACACGGGATCCCTTTCCTTCATGGCACTTACCACGAGGTGACATTGTCTTGTTCATTTCTTATACATGTGTGTTATCTGCGACTCCAGTGAGAGCCCCATGAGTCTGGGCCACCCACGCAGAAGGCCCCTTTGGGGACCCAGCAGTGGACGTCAGACGAAGTCCCGCCCCTCTGGCTGATCTCCCCATCTCGAGATCCTTTATTTGATCACGTCTGCAGAATCCCTTTTGTCGTGTAAGGTCACGTATTCCCAGGCTCTGGGGACGAGGATGGGGAAAGGTGAAGATGGACCGTGATGGAAAGAGTTGGCTGAGAATAATTGCAGAGCCGCAGAGGGAGGAAAGGGTGACGTGCTCCGGGAACCAAAGGGACCCCCGTGTAGTTTCCACCTCGTGGGCATAAAACCTTACGGAGCAGCAGAAGTACCTCAAGAACTCTGGACCTCCCTCTGTTCATCAAGCACCATCTGTTCACTCAGCAAATAATTTAAGGCCAATGACTGTCTTGAGGAGGCTCAGTAGCCTCAGTGTACCCTAGGGTGTTTCGCTGGGTCAAAAATTCACCAAGCATCCCTTTCCATCATTTTGCTTTACCTTTGTAACCATCTTTGGCTTTTTACTTTGTGGTTTCTTTGCCTCCTGATCTCAAAAGGGCTGCCAGAGCTCCAGGTATCACTTACTAATATGACAGCATCCAAATAGGAAGGGAAAGGAAGGATGAAGGAGTTCTCCTCAGGTGCTGCCCTCTAATCATGGTGGAAAACCTTCCCCAGAAGCCCCCAGCCACCTTCCTCTTTGGCTTCAACAGGTTACAAGTCAGGAAGGATACAGGATAAATCCCTGGCAGACAGGGCTGGGGTTGTGCTAGCTCACTTAAACAACCATCACTCATCCCCTACATCTGGGCACAGTGCCACCATGTTCGAGGTTCTGGAAGCAAGGACGAAGGGAGGGTGGCCACTGGGCAGGCAACGACTGCGGCCAGTGGTTAAATTTTCCAGTGATAATAAGTGTAGTCAAGTTTCTCCTCTGGAGCCGGACGTGACCTCCCTGTGCCTCAGTCTCCTCATCTGCAAAATAAGGCAGACCGTGCCCCCTCTCCGAGGGCTGCTGACCAGGTGAAATGGATCGTCACTGCCTGCGAGGTGCTCAGCACAGGACGCAGCCCTGATGGGCGCATGATACGTGGGAGTGGCTGTGTGATGACCGTGGTGGGCTCGCCAGTCGTCAACTTTGGTGAAATCGATTCTCTCTTCTCTCTCTCATCCCCCACTCGAAAAAGATGTTTTTGTTTTCATTTCTGGGTTTTGCTTGTTTTGCTGATTCGATGAGATAGTAACCCTAACATGCCCAGCTCAGCACCGGGAGATTTAGAAGATTATTATTTCAAAGGTCGGGCGTCACAGGCTTACACAGTGAAATCCGCACTCTGCGTCACGACCCACGGGAACTTAACCGGCCTTTCTCCCCTCCCCACCCTACAGACACACACACGCATGTGCGCACACATGCACATGCCCCCACACACACGCGCAAACACCACGCCAGAATCATTCTGCATGACTGCATTCCCAGTCACCCCCAACCCCGCGTCCCTGCACGTCCTCGTGGCTCACCCAGGGACACCCTCCCAGGGACACTCTCCCCTTCAGCTCCCTGCCAGCCGTGAAACCTTCACCCTTCAAGGCTCCGTTCTCACACCCCCCTGCTCCTCTGGGACACCTGTCCTGGCCCCACCCCATTCTCTGCCGCCAAAAAAGAGGCTGCTTTCTCTTGTTGGCTCCTGTGGCATTTTATTTGCACCTGGAATGATTTTTTTTTTTTTTGAGGAAAATTAGCCCTGAGTTAACATCCACTGCCAATCCTCCTCTTTTTTGCTGAGGAAGACTGGCCCTGAGCTCACATCCATGCCCGTCTTCCTCTACTTTTTATGCGGAACGCCTGCCACAGCATGGCTTGCCAAGCGGTGCCATGTCCACACCCGGCATCCGAACCAGCAAACCCGAGGCCAGCAAAGCGAAACATGTGCACTTAACCACTGCGCCACCGGGCTGGCCCCCTTAATGATTTTTTTAAGTGTTCATGATGTAATCTTATTATTTTTTAAACTACTTAAAAATCCCCCAAATTCATCCCTCTGTATGCATACCCAGTTTGCCCCGCATCCTCCCCGACTTTGTCCTCTATTTATATGGCTGTGTCCTTGTGGACATCGACATCATCGTAATGGCAGCTAATATTTATCGAGGCATCGTGAAGAGCCACAGCGACCGTGTACAGCAAGGACGGCCCCGGGTTACAGACAAGCAGCAAAGGAAGTTGCCTGAGTCACCCAGCTCCTGAGGGGCGAGCAGCGCTCCGGACCGGGCACCTCCTGCTTTTAAGCCTCAGGCTATAGAAATGTTTCACAAATTTCTCTCTGCACGTGAGTGATTTCTTGCCACCATCGACATACCGCCTCTTACACCAGTCTCGACTTTCGTACGAGTATCTACTTCATGTTTTCCTTTCAGTCAGCTCGCTCAGATTGAAAATTGAAAACTTGATAGCATGACAACACAGAGCAAGAAGAAAAGGGAAAGGTGAAAACTCTGTCTGGGCCGAATGGAGCTCAGTGAGCGTGAGGGAGGCGTTCGAGACACGCCAGCACCCGGCTGGGACTGTCTTCTTGAAGGAGCAGGATGGAGAACACGGTTTTGAAAAGAGATCGCCTCCTCGCTGCGTGATCTAATCCCACGTCAGCCCATCACCGAAGACCACGCTGGTCGCAGTGGAGGGGAGAGGGTGGGACAGTCGCCGTGCCGGGCAGTAGGCTCAGAGGGAGTAGAAACGGTGTGGTCAGTCTGGTAGGTTCTGGCCACCTAGGGGTCTGCCAGTGACGTTCTGTGCCCCCTGGTTTGGGAAACGGCCACATGCTACGCTGACCTGGGTGGACCTCTCCTGTGGCCCTAAGCAGGGGCGCGGGATCCAGGGGCTGCGGGTGGCACGGAGCGGGGCCCTAACCGTGTGGCTGGTGTTCTGTGTTCCAGCACAACATGCCGTTCTGGCGGATATCCTGCCACGCCGACCTGGAGGCGCTGCGGCACGCGCTGGAGCTGGAGTATCTATAGCGGGAGCCGAGGCGTCGCCAGCTGCTGCCACGGGGGCGTCCCACCCACCCAGGCCCCGCGCACCCCCCGCCTCCCCGCCGGATGCTGGACACCGGGCAGGGTCCCTCCAGCCGAGAGGACGTGTCCGGTGACCATCTCAGAAGTCCTTGCAGTCCAAATGCGGGTCCTGAGAAACAGAGCAGCCAACAGTGGCTTTGGGATGTTTACCTTTGGGGAAAAGGGCTGGCTCAGACTCCAGACCCTTCGACCAGACTCACAGAACAAAAGGAATTGCTGATTTGGGGGAGGGCTGCTGATGAGAAGGGGACAGGCTCTTTTTTTTTTTTTTGTCATTTTAATTTATGGACTAATCTCATTGTTCCGTATTATGCTCTCGTATCTGTGTCGTTGGTTTTCTTAGTCGTTGGTTTGGTTTGGTTTCTTAAACTGGCATGTGGGGTGGTGCACAGTTCTCATTTAAGCACTCTCTGCTCCAAGTTGTGCTTTGGGGGACAATCATGCTTTGAACATTAGTGAGGGAGGCACTTTGGGGCTGTCGGGAAAACTATTGCTCATTTTTGTTTCTAAGGACCTAACCTGACGTCATGTGGACAGTGCACGTGCCTTATGCTGCCATCTTGTTTTCTAGGAAGAGGGGACCCTCGCTGGGGAGGAGGTGGTACTTTGTGACGGAAGAAGGCATTAAATAAAACCACGTTTACATTTTGGAATGGGATAGGGTGTTGCTACTTTATTACCACTCTTGAGGCTTCCAAATGTGTTGATCTTTTCCAGAAACTTTTCAATTGTAAAAGAATAAACTCCAACTCAAACTGGCTTAAGGCAAAAAAAAAAAAGTGTCTCTAGGAACTTTGCATGATGTCTGTCTTCAGGCATAGCTGGATCCAGGTGATCAAATGGCTTTCTCCTGCATGGTCTTACTTCTCAGACAGGCTCTTCCCCATGTGGCAAAGATGGCTCCAAGAATCAGCAAAACCACACCAGCAGAAAGAGAGCACTTTCTGCACAAAGTTCTGACAAAAACCCCAGGATTGTGTCTCATTGGCCAAACCTGAGTCACAGGCTACCCATGGAGCTGGAGTTAGGGTTTGATCCCTCATGAACAGAAAGTTGGGGAGAGCTGGTCCCCCAAAGGACATATCAGTGGGCTATTACCAAAAGAACTGGGGAAAATGGGGTTTGGGCTGGAAAATACAACCGACTTCCATTCCAATCATAAGACTTTATTTTCCAGTGGGTGAGCCAAGGATCCTGTGTAGGGGGGCAAGAGGAGACATCTGGAGAAGTTCCAAGGACATCCTGAGTACCATTGCTGCCCACAGAGTTCCAAGCAGGGCCTGGATCCATCTGATTGGATGCTAAACATAAGCATAGGCTCCTCCTTCTATCCACATTGGTGAAATCCAGGGTTACCAATTGGCTGTATCCACGTCAGTGGAGATGGGAGATGACTTGGTGTCTCAGAGCTAGAATCTCTGATGGATAGAAAGCCATCACCAAGGGTGAGACAGACTCCCCCACTAGGCTCTGAGCTCCATGGGGCAGGGACTGTTGGTTTCATCTCTGTATCCCCAGCATCAACACAGAGTGATGTGCTTGGAATCGGTCCACAGCGTGGATGCTGACACAAATTGGAATCCCATTTCTAGATGAGATGGAAGGAAGGATAGAAGGATAATTGGAATCACAGTCAGATTGGTGAATGGACAGTTGGACAAAGGGATGCATGGATGGTTAAATAGTTGGGTGGGTGGATGGATGATTGGTTAGGTGACCGGATGGTAGAGCAGTTGAAAGGTGAATGTCTGGCTGGCTGATTGGAGGGTGAATGGATAATTATGTTGGGATGACCGGATGGGTGGTTATATAGATTATGAGTGGATGGCTGAGCGGATGGGTGACTGGAATGATGAGCGAATGGTTGTGTGGTGAGATGAATGGATGGATGGTTGTTTGGATGAGTGGATGGTTGCATGGCTTTATGGAAAGACAGATGGACGGTTAGGTGGGTGCATGAGTGGATAAGTGAGTAGGTGGATGTTTGGATGGGCAGATGGATGGAATCAATGGATGGTTGATAGTAATGCCATGACGGCGGATACGTGGATGTGAGAATGGTGTAATGGTTAGATGGATGGATGGTTCAATGGACAAGAATCTCTAAGCTGCCTTAAAAAGCTGGGTCAGCCTCACTGTTGTCTGCCAGCTTAGATTTCTTCTAGAATGAGTAGAGGAGTTTTACTGGATGAATTGGCTTCTGGCTAGAGTGGAGACAGAGGCTGAAATAGAGCCACCCTGGGAAGCCAACGATGTGAACTGACCCCTGGGCCCTCCCTGTCTCCCCATTGGTTAGCGCCCCTGCCACTCAGGCACCCATTTGTAATCATGTTCTATGCATCCTTCTCTCCCTACCGCCTTCGAAACCTGCTGTCAGGGAAAACTCTGTTACGAGTAGAACAAAGAGTAAACTACTTGTGAAAAGTAATTTTTCTTTTAATAGGCTTCTATTAGAGGCCTGATAGGAGACTTCCAGCCCTCCACACAGGAAGAGGTTTGCGGTGAAATCGGCAGACCTCCCCCTTAATCCTGAAATGAACTATGTAGGTGGTTAACTGCCTTTCTTTTCTGATGACTAAATGTTGAAGGCTGGTTCTGACAGAAGCTTGCAATCCACAATCTGTAAGGTAAGAGTTTTAGCCTGAATTCTAGACGACTCAGAGCTGACGCTGGGCAAGGACAGTGTCTTTCTCATTCTGTATGCTCAGTGCCCATAACAGAGTGTGGCACAGAGATGGCACTTAATGAGTGTTAGGTGATGGATTGGGGTGGGAGGGATGATGGGTGGCTAAGATTCAGTGGTCCCAAGTTGCTGGCCCTCACTGTTCCCCTAGCAGTGTCTTGCTGCTGTCTAGAACATTCTCAGAAGGAGAGTAACTGGACTGTTCAGCACTTGCGAACAAAAGCCCTTGGCTTCCCAGAAGTCTGAGCGCGGTTCCAGAGCTTCCTGACCAGCCCAGCAGAAGGACGGAGACCCAAGGATGCCCTCAGGTTACCCTGCGGCTGAAGATATTTGCCTGTCCAAGGGATTTAGAAGTCAGAGAGCCACCAGTGGGATTTTCTTCAGTTGCAAATGACAGAAACACAATCAAAGTGGCTTAAATTCAAAAACAGAATTCTTTCACTCACTTGACTAAAAGGTTCTGGAATGTGTGACCTCTGACCTACCCCTACGCTCCCCCCAAATGCAGAATTCAAGTTATGTCTTTAGAATTTTGAATTAAGTCTCTTTCTCTCCATCTGCGGACTCTGTTTCCTCGGATTTAGTTTCATTCGTAGGCAGTAATCCACATGCTTACAGTAGAAGCTGTGCAGGGAGAAATTCAACAAAGATTCCCCCTGTTGAAGCGTTGCTTAATTCTCAAAAGGATAATTGCTCCGGAAAGACAGTCAGCTTACATATACTGTGTGAGTTAACAAATGTCCTTATGGTTTCAATGTTTTGAGTTGCTTCTTCCTTAGTTATTTGCAGCCAAAAGCATCCCAACTTCTGTAGCACATAATAAGTAGCGGTAGTGGTAGTTTCGTCATGTCACATGGGCTCGATTTCTACTCAGGAAATCAATCATTCGTGTTACCAAAAACTGGAGCAGGGCATTTTTTCATCAGATATTAATCAAGCATCTAAAATGCATTGGCAGGGTCCCAGGCACAACAGACACAAATTGAGTAAGATATTGTCCAAAGAAAAACATTGATAAATTTGACCACCTTAAAAAAAAACTTATTAAAAAAACATAAGCAGAGGGGCTGGCCTGGTGGCACACTCGTTAAGTTTGCACGTTCGCAGGTGTGGACCTATGCACTGCACATCAAGCCATGCTGTGGCAGGCGTCCCACATATAAAGTAGAGAAAGATGGACACAGATGTTAGCTCAGGGCCAGTCTTCCTCAGCAAAAAGAGGAGGATTGGCTCAGGGCTAATCTTCCTAAAAAAAAAAAAAAACATAAGCCGAGACAACAGTCAAATTGAAATTCAAATCACAGATAAGAGCAAGAGTTAATCCCCTTAATATATAAAGAGCTCTTAGAAACCAGTAGCAAGCCAACCACCAAATAAAAAGTGGTCAAAGGCCATGAACAGACATTTTATATTTCTTTTAAAAATACAGCTGGTTCTTAAACTTATAAAAAGATGCTCAATCTCACTCATAATTGAGATAACATTTTCCACATCAGATTGACAAAAATCTGAAAGTTCCATGACTCACAGTATTGGTGGAGATGTGGGACCCTTCGTGCATTGCTGGTGGAAGCTGAAATTGGCATGACTTCTAAGGAGGGAAGATTGACAATATTTATCCAATTTGTAAGTTTGACTCAGCAGTGCCACTTCTGAGAATTCATTTACAGATATATTTACATAGCTATGAAGATTCTGTACAGAGTTATTTTCTACAACATTATTTGTAATAGCAAAGAATGAAAACAACCCAGATACCCATCAGTAGTGGACTGTTTAAATGATATGGCCAGGCAATGGAATACTATGCAGCCATAAAAAAGAACAAGAATGTTCCTTATATATTAGTTTGGAAAGATCTAAACATATCACAAAGTGAAAAAGCACAGTTGCAGAACAGCATGTGGTACATGCCACTTTTGTGTAAAAATGGGGGAAAAAATAAGAAATATATTATCTCATTTCCTGAGTAGAAATCGAGCCCATGTGACATAACGAAACTACTACTAACACTATTTATTATATGCTATATAGGTTGGGATGCTTTTGGCTGCAAAGAGAAACTTTGAGAGACTATGTAAGATATTAATAAAAACAATAACCTACAGGCAGCTGTCAGACATGTGGATGACACGTGGGAGAGTGCCTTACTGAACTTGGTGGAGGGATTATGGAAAGATCTTAAAGATCAGACGTCAGTTCTGGAGACTTCTCTGCCAATAGCCCATTAGCCTAAGGAGCTTGTTTCCAGTCAGTTTCTCCCAAGGGCCCCCCCAGCCCTTTCTCCCTGGGCCTCATGGTGCTGGTGTGAAGGCTGAGGAAGACTATTCTGGGAACGGGGCAACCTCGTTCTGGCCCCATCCCAGGAAGCCTCGCCCCCACTGAGCCATCACTGCCAAAAGCAGGCCAGTGGTGGTCACAGTGGTTGGAGTCGGGGACACCTGGGAAAGCCCTGCCAAGTTTCAGAGCCCCTGTGCTCCATCCATTCCACCGGGTTAAGCCAGGGTTCACCCCTTACCAGGCGCTCTTCCCGACCTCTGGATGCAGAGCTGAAAGGCCCCTCTCATGGAGCTGACCTTCCTGCACAGGAAACCGACACAAAGCAGGCAAATTGGAGCTGGCCCGGTGGCGTAGCGGTTGAATTCACACACTCCACTCCGCGGCCCAGGGTTCACAGGTTCAGATCCCAGGCATGGACCTAGCACCACTCCTCAAACCACGCTGTGGTGGCATCCCACATAAAATAAAGGAAGACTGGCAACATACGTCAGCTCAGGGCCAATCTTCCTCACAAAACAAGAAAGCAGGCAAATTAACCATGGGACCAGGACTTTGCCACCCATCTCCTTGTCCCACGAGAAGAAAGGCAGAGAGCGTGGGCCAGCCAGAAGCAGGACCGGCACACACACCCTGGTCCCTTTACACACCCGGCCACAGGCTTGCTTTCCCACTTGAGCCACGACCTAAGTCGCCTT